GCACGAGGGCGCACTAGGAGAGAGGTGCTCGAGGGCGCTACGTCATTAAGGCGCTCGAGGGCGCTTCTAGTGGAAACTGTGGGCCCTTAGGTAAGCGTTCCTAGGTGTAACCTACGCTCTTAATACCATGTCAGAAACAAGAAGTGGTTGGACTAGCAAGAATGAGAGTACAAGTACAAAACACTAGAGCAATGTACCCCTTAGAGGCTAACCCACTGTAGCCTACAAACTATAACACATATAATGTTTGACACCTCCGGCCTCCTCGAGGACTTCTTTGGTGCTGAGGGCATCCGTCAGACTTTCATGCTCCCGGCCTCTCCACAGCAGAATGGGATTGCAGAGCGCCATATTGGCTTGGTGATGGAGGTTGCTCGCACCTCCATCGTCCATGCGGCTGCTCCCCATTTTCTGTGGCCGTTTACGGTCCGATACGCTGCTGAGCAACTCAACCTCTGGCCCCGTGTCTCCCACCCGGAGACCTCTCCCACTCTGCGATGGACGGGCGAGGTTGGTGATGCGTCGCCGTTTCGGGTCTGGGGTGCCCTTTCGCTTGTTCGCGACCCCCCCGCGGGGAAGCTCTCTCCCCGCACTCTTCGCTGCGTCTTCCTTGGCTTCCCTACCGACGCCCCGGGCTGGCAGTTTTACCACCCGGGTTCCCGTCGTGTTCTCTCCTCCCAGGACGTCACCTTTGACGAGCCTGTCTGCTTCTCCACCCCCACCGCAGTTCCCCCGTGCCCCTCCCGCCTCTCGCACTGGTCTCCGACCCCCCCCCGGTAGCCCCACTCCCCCCGCAGGGTCCTGCTCCCTCAGGTGTGTCTCAGGTTGACCCGTCCCCCTTGGTTGAGCCAGTCGAGGTCTCCTCTGACACCTTTGGCCCAGCTGAGGGGGGTGACCCGACTCCTGCTGCCGCCGTGACCCCTCGCCGCTCTGCGCACTTGGCGGTCCCTCCTGGGTTTTCGCCTCGACCGTCTTCACCTCCACTGCAACCTGTCGCTGTGGACTCTGGTGCTGCAGGAGGTGGTACCACTGGGGGTGCTGGTTCTGGGGGTGCTGGTTCTGGGGGTGCTGAGTGTCCTCTGCGTATAGGAGGTACTGGAGGTACTGGTGCTGGTGGTCCTGGTACGAGTCGGCAGGAGGCTCTCTCGCCGGAGCGGCTTCGCGAGTGGGCTGTCCAGTGGGGCAGCCCTGGTGGTGGAGCTAGCCGTCTTCGAGCGGGAGGTGCTGGGACTGCTGGAGCTGGAGGTGCTGGCACTGCTGGAGCTGGAGGCTCTGCTACTGGTGGTACTGGGGTTGCTAGTGCTGGTGGCACTGGTGCACGTCGGCATGAGACTCTCTCACCGGAGCGGCTTCACGAGTGGGCTGTACAGTGAGGCAGCCCTGGTGGTGGAGCTAGCCGTGCTCGTACTACTAGATCTGGAGGTGCTGGGACTCCTGGTGCTACTGGAGGTACTGGAGGTGCTGCTGCTGTGGGTGCTGCTGCGGGTAGTCCTGGCTCACGTCGCCAGGAGTCTCTCTGGGGGTGCTGGTTCTGGGGGTGCTGAGTGTCCTCTGCGTATAGGAGGTACTGGAGGTACTGGTGCTGGTGGTCCTGGTACGAGTCGGCAGGAGGCTCTCTCGCCGGAGCGGCTTCGCGAGTGGGCTGTCCGTCGGGGCAGTCCCGGTGGTGGAGCTGGTGGTACTGGTTCTGGGGGTGCTGTTGCTACTGGAGCTGGAGGTTTTGAGGGTGCGACTACTCAGCCGCAGCCGTCTGCGCTTCGTCACCTTCTCAGTCTCCTGCCTGCTGCTACTGAGTTCCCGGTTTCTGGTACTACTCCTCCGTTATTGTTCCCACCGACTTACCAGTCTTAGCCACAGCTACTGCCTGGCTCCCCACTGCCTGCTCCTTCTCCTCACACTGAGGTGACTGCATCCTTGACTGCGCGTCGTGAGCCTGAGACTCGTGCTTCCACTCCTGAGCGTCGAGAGCCTGAGACTAGAGCTTGTGTCCCTACTCGTGTTCGTCGTGTTCCTCGTCCTCGTGCTCTGGCTGTACCAGGCACTCACAATATGACACTCTGTCCTTCCTCTGTTCCACAGCGTGTTGTACTGCCGTCGCCTCCCGTGTCCTCTCTTCCGCACGTTCTTGACCATGAGTCTGAACTTGTCCTTGCTGTCAGTCCGACTGTCACTCGTCTCCTTGCCACAGTTGTGACTGACCCTTTCCTTTGAGTCTGCTGCTGCGTCTGCCTTAGTTGCTGAGCTTGTTGACTTTGCTGCTTTGTGCCGCCTTGACTACGCTGCGAGTCTTTTTTTTTACTCTTCCTGTCCTCCGTCCATCGGGGGTGAGCTTGCCCTTGGTTGTGACGTTCTTGAGGACAGGCAGTTTGAGCTGGATTGCCTTGCGGCCGCTGCACCTCATATCGCGTCCACGCTACTTTGCCCTGAGGGAGACCCGGATGCACTGCACATCCCGACCCCGAGCACTTACGCAGAGGTGATCACGGGTTCGTACTCCTCTCAGTGGCAGATAGCCATGGACGCAGAGATGGCTTCCTGGAAGTCCACAGGCACCTACGTCGACGAGGTTCCCCCACATGGGGCAAACATAGTCGATGGCATGTGGATTTTCAGGGTGAAGCGGCCGCCGGGTTCTCCGCTGCCTTCAAGGCGCGTTACGTTGCACGAGGCTTCAGTCAGCGTGAGGGGGTCGACTTCTTTCAGACCTTCTCCCCCACCCTGAACATGACCACTCTTCGGGTGCTACTGCACGTTGCAGCGCAGCGCGACTACGAGTTGCACTCCCTCGACTTCTCGGCAGCCTTCTTGCAGGGCATCCTTCACAAGGCTATCAGGTTGTGCCATCCACGTGGCTTCACTGGGTCGTTTCCTGAGGGTACCCAGTGGAGTCTTCGGCGGCCAGTCTATGGCCTACGACAGGCACCCTGCGAGTGGCACGACACACTGAGGACTACACTTGCGGCTCTTGGCTTCGCTCCCTCGACTGCTGACCCTTCGCTGTTTCTGCGCACAGACACTTCTATTTCGCCGTTCTACGTTCTCGTGTACGTTGATGACTTGGTTTTTGCTAATGCTGACACTGAGGCTCTGGCCTTGGTGAAGGCGGAGCTGCAGGAGAGGCACACTTGCACTGACCTGAGTGAGCTGCGGAGCTATCTTGGCTTGCACATCACCCGGGACATAGCACGCCGCACCATCACCCTCACTCAGTCACACGTGGTGCAACAGGTCCTTCAGCGCTTCGACTTCACGTGGTCCTCGCCACAGCCCACTCCTCTGTCTACCGGCCACTCGCTCTCAGCTCCACCTTCGGACGAGTCCGTAGAGCTGAGTGGTCCGTACCTAGAGCTTGTGGGTTGCCTCATGTACCTGATGACGTGCACACGACCTGACCTCGCGTACCCTCTCAGCCTCCTGGCTCGCTACGTGGCTCCCAGTAGACACCTAAAGGTGCACTGGGAAGCTGCGAAGAGGGTATTGCATTACTTGTGCAGTACATCGGGCATGGGGCTCGTGCTTGGAGGATCGGGTTCAGTTGTTCTCACCGCTCACTCGGACGCTTCTTGGGCTGACGACCAGACGACTCACCGGTCGACACAGGGGTACAGTTTCAGCCTCGGCACTGGTTCTGTCTCGTGGAGGTCCACTCGCTCGTCTTCTGTACTTAGTTCCTGCTGTGAGGCCGAGATCTACGCTTGGGCTATGGCTGCACAGGAGCTCCGCTGGCTGACCTACTTGCTTACCGACTTGGGTGAGCGGCCTCGTTCTCCTCCAGTTCTGTAGGTCGACAACAAGGCCATGATTGCCTTGTGTCAGGACCAGAGACTGGAGCACATAACGAAACACATTGCTCTCCGTTACTTCCTCACGCGCTGCAGCAGCGTGGTCAGCTTCGTCTTGCTTACGTGGCCACACGGGCCAACACTACTGATGTCTTCACCAAGGCCCTTGGGTCTAGTGATCATCAGCGTTTCTGCACTGCTCTTGGGCTTGTGCCCACTCTGCCTCACTTGCTTGTCTCTTGATCTTGATCTTGTTGTACATTGGTATATATGAGTATACCTGCTTGCTTACACTTGCTAGGTTGTGATCAGTGTACTGCTCTTGTTATTATAAACTCAGCATGTGAACTGGCCTTGTGGCCGCTTGCTTGTGCTCAGAATGCGTGGTGATCTTGAGATCCACCCTTAGCTTTGTTTTGCTTTGCTTCTTCTCTTGTTTGGTCTTGTGACCCCTTGTTGTCCCCCACTTTGCCTATGGGGGTGTGTCAAAACATGTTTATATCATGTTAGTGATGTTAGGCTATAGTGGGTCACTCCCTGTGGGTTACAACCCTTTGTTAGGGTTGCTACTTGTACCACTCATCCTGCTTTAGTCAATCATTCCGTCACTCACATTTCAACGCATAAGGAGAAGCAGGCTGGTTAAAATTGCTTTGAACAGCTGCATGCAACCCCGTCATTGTGCCTCGTGAACTGATGGACGCTGCGGGATGTGAGGTGGGGGTACGGTGCACCACAGTCCATGGTTGCGTCACGTACGGTATAGGAAAGGAGAATGCGCTGGCAGAACAAGACAGCGCGTTGCCGTGTCATGGCTGGCATCGGTGCCGACAGCCAGCCACACGACAACCCCCTGGCAGCATATGACTCAGATACATGACAGCGAGGCTGCTACAAGACAGAAATTGAATGCGCGTGCAGGTACAGCGCGTCAAAGATTCGTGTACCTGTGGTCCTCTGTCCTAGTGGTCCTATGTACTAGTGGTCCTATGGCCTAGTAGTGGGTCACTTTGTCGGTTTCAGACAAAACCGAACTCGCTATCTGAAAATTCAGATGAACTAAAATGCGTGGTCTGAAATATCATCTGAACTAAAATCGTTAGTCTGACTGATCAGATGAGCAAAAAAACACTCTTACAAATCAGATGAATACAAAAATCCATGTCATACACCCACCCACCCTAAAGTGCACTGCACACACACAAACTCGGTATTGTTTTACAGGTCATCATCTGCATGGTTCTCCAGCCATTCCTCCCGCATCTTCCTTTTCCTCTCCAGCCTATCCACATGCCGCGCCCTCAGTTGCTCCTTGATTCTCTGCCGGTGATGGTCCGTCATGCCCCCATCCCCACCCATCCGGTCCAGGTGCAGCTTCTCGCGCTCCTTCATCATCTCCTGCCGCATCTTCTCCCGCTTCCACACGTCGCGGTGCACCAGAGATTCCAGTGGCTGGTCTCCGGGGCGCCGCACCACGTCGTCCCCCACCAGCAACTCGTATGCCTCCTCCTGCTCCAGCACAAACTCCTTCACCTGCCAGACACAAAAAAAAGGAATTTTATTAATTATTCTATCTTCATGGACAGTTATTAAACAGCACATGGCGATGAACAAGGGAGTTGAATGGGTGAGTGGGTGAGCAGAAAGCCGTACCAGGTGGCCAACAACAAGCCCCTCGCGTGCAGAATGAAGGGCGTGGCCAAGTGTGTCACAATTCCCTATCTGAGGCGCATTTGCAGCAGTGCACAGTGAATTTTGGCGGTGTCAGCCTGACCGTACTAGCAGTCGTGGCTGTGAGCAGAGTAGCTTTTGGTTCGACTCAATGGCAAGGCATGGCTAGCGTGAGTGTTACCTTGCTAGCAGCAGCGGTGGTAAGCAATGCGATGTGCAGCGTATACAAATCCAGTGGATACACATTAGCGTTTTTGTAGGCGCTTCAGAACGTGACTATCTTGTTACCTTGCTGGCAGCAGCGGTGGTAAGCAGTGCGATGTGGAGAGTGTCCAAATCCAGGGAATACACATTGGCAATTCTGAATACTTGCTCTGTTGACAGATTACCTTGCTGGCAGCGGCCGTGGTGAGCAGTGCGATGTGCAGTGTGTCCGAATCCAGCGGATACACGTTGGCGGCAATCTTCCCCTCCGTCATGCCCGCCTGCCACCGCGTCGCCAGCTGCTGCACGTCCTCCTGCGAACCGAAAGGGGGTACCGAGAGCGACACAGAGAGGGGTGAGACAGGGATAAGGGGATATCTCACATCTCGCATATGGCAAGGCCAGCGGAAGCCACTCAGATGTGAGATGGGAAGGGATGGGTCGGTGGCGTCGCTTTCGGGAGTTCTCAAATGCGAATTGAACAAAAAAGGCCGGAGGAAAAACGAAGAGGGTTACTGGAGTGTATTAATACGCAAAACGGACAAGGTTTCCAAGAGTTACGTCTTGAAAGTTAATAAATACAAGATGAAAAGGGACATTGCGATAATGGGAGGCAAGGGGGGTGGGAATTGGATACGAAATGAGAAAAGAACGGCTGAAGAATACGACGAAGAATGCGTGAGAATGCCGGCGGTAACGCAAGGCATCTCATTGCCGTGAGTTCAGCATTCATAAATTTCACTTTCTCGAGGTCCGAGGGTGTGACGCGAGCCGCCGGGGTCGTGTCGGGGCTTCACAGAAATGAACGACCCCGGCTTGACCGACGGCTTGACCGACGGTTTGACCGACGGTTTGACCTCCTCCATGCGCTAATGTCGAGCAAAAATCACGACCGCCCTAGCGCGTCGACTCCACGCGAAATAAATTATGACCGCAGCGACTCAAAGCGTGCCTGACGTGCTCGAGTCGACCTGTTTCTCGGTGCCGGACAATGCGCGAATGAAGGGGAACACGGCCTTTCAAGATGTCTCAAAAGTAGTCTCCTTACACACGCGCTAATTTAGAGGCGTATGGAGGGGGACACTGCACTCCCCGGGTCGCGACAATTTCTGAGTCAACTCAAAAATCGGACAATGCGCGCATGGAGGAGGACACTACGCTGCGCGGTTCGGGTTGCTTTTGAGTCGCGCCAAAAGCTGCGCGGGTCGCGGTTACTCGCGACGAGCCTTAGTGACTTACTTTATCGACCGTTCGTTGTCTCTCCCTCGCGCTACTGTCCAGCGCGCAGAGGCGTGTTTCCTGTTTAAAACATGGGAATGGCGAAATCAAGGCGCGGGGGGTCGTGCGCGGGCCGTACCAGCGTGCGAGAGCCCGCGTCGTGACGGAGCTTGACGAAGATGAACGACGGCCGTCGATCTCTGATCGACGCCTTCAGCTCCTCCATGCGCGCCTCGCGGTGCAGGTCCATCGCGCGCGTCGCTCCCGCCGCGGCGAACACGAGCACGAGAATGGCGAGAGCCGCATTGCTCGCAGCCATCAGGCCGCCGGAATCGCGAATTAAGCGCATAAAGACAGAAGTAAGTCTTAGTACCTATGCAGCTATCTGTCTAACCACAAGAAACCAGAAATGAATATCTTCGGGAAGGAGAAAGTCTTCATAGAAAGGAGAAACTAGAAGACAGGGAAATGGGAACACCGAAGAAAGAGTATTCGGCACTCCCCTGGACCCCCGCACACTCCCTGCGCTCTTCTCACCCCCAACCGCGCACTTTTCCCCGCAGCCTCTCCGCCCCTTTCCCCCGTCCCTTTTCTCCGCCCCCTTTCCTCCCCCAAGTTCCGCTCCTCACCCCGCCGGCTTTCTTTCCGGTTCTCTAGTCAGTCCGCTTCGCTACGGCCTTTGCGGAAGTCAAAGCAACGCCACGGCGGCCCTCGTGGTGCTGCTTCCTGCTGACGAGGCTCGAAAACACGCATCGCTTGTGACAAATTCAATATATGTATGCAAAGTAAAAGGCTAGTTTCGATAGCCTACATTTCAGGAATCAACTCGTTTTAATGTGTTGAAATTAATAGTTCAAATATCCACATGAAGATATAATATACACGTGATTTTCTCGGACGGCCCACCAATCATGCTGCCAACGCCACATTCAATAGTCGCTTTTATAATCACTCCATCAAATCTGCTCGTCTTCTGTCGCAAGGAAGTTTGCTGCCTCCAACAACCTCATCTCACCACCTGTTTGCGGGTCAAACTGAAGCTTGTAGAACCTGGAGAGCGGGAGACAAACAGTCACACAGCAACGGCAGCAGCATTTTTGGCAGAAGACATGGAAGACACACAACTTGCAGCATCACAAGACTTACGGTACAACCACGCAACACAAGTTGCAGCAGCAGAACGTGTAAATACACAAGAGAGCACATGCATGGACAGACGTACGCGCCAGTGCTGCCGACGACGATGACGGTGTTGGCCTCGGCACCAAAGGCAGCGAGCATGCGCGTGTGCACGCCCACCCGGTAGAATGCTAGCGAGCGCTCATCACTGAAATACTTGGGGAGGACGCCTGGGAGGGGTTGACAGGGGTTGACAGGGGTGGAAAAGGGTTGACAGTGCATGACACTCTTGAGATGCCAATGCAGCGAGCATGCTTGTGTGCACGCCCACCCGGTAGAATGCCAGCGAGCGCTCGTCTCTTAAGTACTTGGGGAGGACTCCTGGGAGGGGAGAAGGGAGGAGTAAATCGGAAGCAGGAGACGGGGGTAGCATGAGAGGAGTGAGCAGCGCGTGTGCATGTACACACGCATGGGCACACACACATGGGTAAGACGGGTATCCAGGGGACGGAGTGATTACGGCAAAGTGGTTCTTGCATTGGAGAGGATGGAGGGGAGAGGAGTGAAGGTGAGGCAGGGACAAGCAGGGAGCAGCACGCGAGCGGAGAGAGAATCGGCGCTCCTGTGCGATAGAAGGCAAGGGAGCGATAAATGCACTTTCAGAATTGAGGGTGCTGATGTGAGCTGGGAGAGTTGTAATGCACTCTCAAAACAGGGCTGCAATGCGGGTGACTTGTATCGACTTTTTAACTGCTCTTCGAACTCACCCCTCCAGCACCCCACTCCTTGAGCACCCCACCCCTTGAGCACCCCACCCCTTGAGCACCCCACCCCTTGAGCACCCCACCCCTCGGGAGCATCCCATGCCACCCCCGCAACCCATCCCAGGCCACCCCCCGCATCCCACCTTTCATCAGGCCGAACGATGACAGTGCCGATACCGCTCCCCCACCACACCCTGACGCCCATCCATGGAATCACCCACCCTTCATGTGAACAGCCCCTAGAAACCCAACCCTCAAGTCTCCACCCCCCGCAACCCACCTTTCATCAGGCCGAACGATGATAGTGCCGATACCGCTCCCCCACCACTCCCCGACGCCCCTCCCTTCCCCTCGCCGCCCCCCACCCCATCCTCCTGCCCCTGCCCTTGGGAGTGCCGGAGTGAGAACACGTGAATCGTGCCTCTGTCGCTTGCTGCCACCAGGAAGGGCGCTTTTGGGGAGAAGACGAGGCTGTATATGTCGGCTCTCTCCACTCCCCGCCGTAGCTGGCGTGAGGGAGGGGAGGCAAGGAGCAAGAACAGGGAGAGCCGGGGGGAAGGCGAAATGAGGGAATGGGCGAGAGTGAGAGCACATGCACGGTGCCTCTGTTGCTTGCTGCCACCAGGAAGGGCGCCTTGGGGGAGAAGACGAGGCTGTATATGTCGGCTCTCTCCACTCCCCGCCGTAGCTGGCGTGAGGGGGCGGACGTAAGGAGAGGGGTGCAATGCGGTGAGCAGGTGTGACAAGCAACCACCAAAAAGGGCGCCTTGGGGGAGAAGACGAGGCTGCAGACGACTCTCCACTCCCCGGCGCAACTGCCAGCCATGGGGGGGGCAGCGAGGGGGTGGCAAGGGGAGGGAATGGTCTGATGCAAGGTGCAGTGCGGTGAGCAGGTGTGACTAGCGACCACCGAGGAAGGGCGCCTTGGGGGAGAAGACGAGGCTGCAGATGAGTCTCCACTCCCCGGCGCAACTGGGGTGAGGGAGGCAAGGAGCAAGAGCAGGGAGAGCAGGGAGCAAGGGGCCATGATGAGGGAAGGCTAGAGAGAGAAGACGTGCATGGTGCCATGAGGGAAAGAGATGTCTCACACACACAGATGTCTCACACACACAGATGTCTCACACACACAGATGTCTCACACACACAGATGTCTCACACACACAGATGTCTCACACACACAGATGTCTCACACACACAGATGTCTCACACACACAGATGTCTCACACACACAGATGTCTCACACACAAAGATGTCTCACACACACAGATGTCTCACACACACAGATGTCTCACACACACAGATGTCTCACACACACAGATGTCTCACACACACAGATGTCTCACACACACAGATGTCTCACACACACAGATGTCTCACACACACAGATGTCTCACACACACAGATGTCTCACACACACAGATGTCTCACACACACAGATGTCTCACACACACAGATGTCTCACACACACTCACAGCTCACCTCGTGCAGTTTCATGCCATCCGCCGTGTTGAACACGCGAATCAGAGTGCCCTTGCTGCTGGCCGTGGCCAGCCGCTGCCCGTCCAACAAGAGCGGGCGAGGTGCCCGTCCAACAAGAGCGGGCGAGGTGCCCGTCCAACAAGAGCGGGCGAGTGAGAGTATGTCGACACACCCACCAGGGGTGCACACATGACACACCCACCAGGGGTGCACACATGACACACCCACCAGGGGTGCACACATGACACACCCACCAGGGGTGCACACATGACACACCCACCAGGGGTGCACACATGACACACCCACCAGGGGTGCACACATGACACAACCACCAGGGGTGCACACATGACACACCCACCAGGGGTGCACACATGACACACCCACCAGGGGTGCACACATGACACACCCACCAGGGGTGCACACATGACACACCCACCAGGGGTGCACACATGACACACCCACCAGGGGTGCACACATGACACACCCACCAGGGGTGCACACATGACACACCCACCAGGGGTGCACACATGACACACCCACCAGGGGTGCACACATGACACACCCACCAGGGGTGCACACATGACACACCCACCAGGGGTGCACACATGACACACCCACCAGGGGTGCACACATGACACTCACACCCCACTCCTCACCTCGTGCAGCTTGGCGCCATCAGCTGTGTTGAACACTCTTATCAGCGTGCCCTTGCTGCTGGCCGTGGCCAGGCGCTGCCCGTCTAGAGAGAGCGCGATGCAGGCGGGCTCCGAGTCGTGCGCTGCGATGAAATGCGTGCGACGTTGGTCAAACAGCTCAATGCGGATCTGAATGGAAAAGGGGGGGGAGGAGGGGAGTGCAGGGATCAAGGGTGGAGGGGAGGGGGATGCAGGGGGGCTCGGAGTCATGCGGCGCTATGAAGTGCGTGTGGCGCTGGTCAAACAGCTCAATGCGGATCTAAGTGGAGAGAGAGGGGGGGAAGGGAAGGCAGTATGGGAGTATGTTCAGAGGCAAGGCGTCGCGAGTGGGGGCGCGCCGCGCCTGTAGTAAGAAAGAGCTGGGGGTGCAGGCGGGCTCCGAGTCATGCGCTGTGATGACGTGCGTTCGGCGCTGATCGAATACCTCTCCTCGGATCTAAGCGGTGAGGTGAGGGAGGGAGGGGGGTGCAAGGATGGAGAGGGAGGAGGTGAGGATATTGGGCTGCTATGAAGTGCGTTCGGCGCTGATCGGATAGCTCCACTCGGATCTAAGCGGGGTTGACAGTGAGGGGGCGGGCCGGAGGGGGAGAGAATCGGGGCGCATGCTCAAAAGCAACTACAGGAACGAGGAGCAGCCCGGGGAGAGGGGGCAGCCCTACCCACCTGCTGCATGTGTTTCTATAGCCCCAACCACCTTCCGCCTGTCATCCCATCCCACCCACCATACATCCCATCATCCCATCATCCCATCATCCCATCATCCCATCGTCCCATCGTCCCATCGTCCCATCGTCCCATCGTTCCATCGTCCCATCATCCCATCGTGTGAGAAACTCAAGTGTTGGTTTGATTAGCAAGATTGTGGGTACATATAGGAGATGAAAAGTATGGGGAACTAGGTTGGGTACCTGCGACATTATTGGTGAGCCAATGGGAGTGGCCACCAATAATGTTTTGGAGGTGACCGCCAATTATTGGGGGGGGCCAATAATGGTTGGAACGAACCAACCAATGTTGGTTCCCCCCGCCAATTGCGGCTGAGTGGGGCTGGGGTGCACCCAACCAGAACTGGTTGGGTCGCCTTGGCCCAAAGTGTACACCCATGTTTGGGTGTTACACTTGCACATTTACAACCCAACTGATGCTATAATCTAACACATCGTCCCATCATCCCATCGTCCCATCATCCCATCGTCCCATCATCCCATCGTCACATCATCCCATCGTCACATCATCCCATCGTCCCATCGTCCCATCGTCCCATCGTCCCCTCATCCCACCACCCATCTCAACATCTCACCTGCTGCCCGGTGCTTGCCCGGGAAAGCCATGACGAGGCAGGTGGGCGGCTGGGAGAACGAGCATGACACACTAGCTGAGCCTCCTTACGGCCCACCCTGCCTCCTTGCCTGCCTAATCCCAACCGTGCCACCCACCTGCTGCCGGTGCTTGCCAGGGCAAGCCATGACGAAGCTGTTGGGCGACTGGGACACCTCGCACAGCCCCTTGGGGTTGGACAGCGTTTCCACCTGCCATCCGCGCATGAGACACAGAATGATGCAAGGAGGGAGGAACACACATGCAGGGCGTGTGTCAAGGAGGGAGGAACACACATGTCGATGGGAAATGGTGGCAAGGCACCTCATGTCAATATGAGCGGGGGACGACTAGTATAATAACGCACTTGTCCAAGGGGGAATTCTCAAGAATGATCCCAAGCACGAAAATGCGCAGGGGCCACAGGGCTACACCTCATGCAGGGGCCACAGGGCTACACCTCATGCAGGGGCCACAGGGCTACACCTCATGCAGGGGCCACAGGGCTACACCTCATGCAGGGGCCACAGGGCTACACCTCATGCAGGGGCCACAGGGCTACACCTCATGCAGCCCCCTTGGATTGGATTCGACAGCCCTAACGGCTGCAGGTGCAGGCATCACCCTGTGTGCTCCCAGGTGTTACCTGGTGCAGGCATCACCCTGTGTGCTCCACCACCACTGCATCGCTCCTCAGCCCTGAGCTCTTACCTGCCGCACATTGATGCATCACCATGCTCGTTCACCCTACCTGGAGCAGCAGTTTGAGATGAGAGACGTTGCACCACACAATGTGGTCCTTCCTGAGCCTTGTGCTCTCAGGTGCTACCTGGTGCAGGCATCATCTGGAGCACGTTGAGGCGTTACCTGGTGCAGCAGCTTCAAGTCTGCCAAGTTGTACACGTGGAGTGGACGGTGGACCTTATGCTCCAGCGCGGGTACAGCTTCACGATGCGGACCAAGTTGCACCACCACAATGCGGTCCCTCCTCTGCCCTGCATGCTATGCTGCAGGCAGGCATCATCTGGTGCAGGTCCCCTGTCCCATCTCACCTGCTGCAGCAGCTTCAGGTCAGCGAAGTTATAGACATAAGCCTTATGCTCCAGCACCACCATAATGCGATCCCTCCTCAGCCCTGTGCTCTGAGTCATTACCTGGTGCACGCACGTTGAGTGTGTTACCTGGTGCACGCACGTTGAGTGTGTTACCTGGTGCACGCACGTTGAGTGTGTTACCTGGTGCACGCACGTTGAGTGTGTTACCTGGTGCAGCAGCTTCAGGTCTGCAAGGTTATACACTTAAACTTTCTGCTCCAGCACCACCACAATGTGGTCTCTCCTCAGCGCTACCTGCTGCAGCAGCTTCAGGTCAGCGAAGTTATACACGTAGACCTTATGCTCCAACACCACCACGATGTGGTCCCTCCTCAGCCCTGTGCTCTGAGGCATGGCTTGGAGCAGGCATCATCTGGCCCACGTTGAGGCATTACCTGGTGAAGCAGTTTCAAGTCAGCAAAGTTGTAAACGTAGACCTTGTGCTCCAGCACCACCACGATGCGGTCCCTCCTCAGCCGCACGCTCCTCACTTCACTGCGGAAGGTGAGCTCCCCGATGCACCGGCTGTGGCTGTCGTCCCAGATCATTGCCTGCAGAGCGAAGTGGAATAAGTTGGGTGGGGTGGAAGGAAGGGAATAGAGCGGGATGGAGGGAAAAAACACAACGAATAGCACTAATCATCACGAGCCCACTTCACCGCAAAAGGCCAGCTCACCGACGCACCGGCTGTCCAATGGTACCCCACTTAGGAACGCCGGAGCCATGGCTGTCGTTTCAAGTCATGGCCTGATGAGGGGGAAGTGGGAACGGGGTGGGATGGGAAGGAGAGGAGAGGGGGGTGTGAGAAGGGAAAGAGGGAATCACATGGAGAGAGGTGGATGTGGCCGGCCGATGCACCGCCGCCGCCTGTAGCTGTCATCCCATCCTCCTCACGCTCTCTAAACTTTCTCATGCTCTCTAATCTTCTCAACCTCTCTAATCTCCCCGCCGCACCTTGTTAGGCGGGTAGCACGGGTTGGAACCGCCGCCCACGAACGCGAGGAAGTTGCAGCGAAACAGCATCTCCACCATGCCCACGCCGCGCCCGTCGAAGTCGCGCCGAATCGTCTCCCACAGCGGGTCGCAGCAGAACACGCGGAAGCCGCCGCGCGTCCCGCACGCGAAGCACGTGAAGTCCTGGTTGAACCGCACCGACAGCGCCTCGCCTTCCGTCTCCCGCTCCCGCTCGCGCGAGCCCTCGCGGGAGCCGCCGCCGCCGGCCTGCGCGGCTTGCGCGTCGTGCGGCAGCGCGGAGTATTGCAGCGCGGCGCCGTGCGCCGGTGGTTGCTGCAGCGGGTGGTGGGGCTGCGGAGCAGCGGCGGCGGGCGCGGGAACTGCGCCCGCGGAGTCTCGGTCGGCGGAGGGCTCCGCCTCCCTCTCCGCCATCTGCGGCTGCGCCAAAGGATCAGCAAAAGGCTGCGCGAAAGGTTGCGCAGGGAAGTTTTCCGCTCCGCCAACAGCTTCGGGGGGCTGCGCGGGGAAAGGGGAATCCACTGGCGGGGGGGCGCTATTCATGACGGCGACAATCCCAAGGTTTGACACGATATGCCCGAAAGGTCTCGCAAGTGGAGAGAAACAGGGGAAACTGCGCGAGCCGCGTGACGGCAGACGGCAGATTGCTGAGCTGTAGCGAAGACGGCTGGTGTGGACGGTGACAAGGTGAAATACGCCGAGGAGCAACGAGAGCTATGGATAACAGCGAATGAAGAAGCGGTGGGAGCAGGCAAGCAGGGAGACTGCGCGGAGGAGCAAAATTTGTTGTGCTTGTGGAAGCGGGGGGGGACAGGTGATGGGACTGTCGGATTATGCTGTTGCGGCTTGCCTTGCCTCCCTGCTGACTGCCATGCTCCGATACAAGGCAATCGTGGATTGCTGGTGCAATTTTCAATTCGAATTGCACGCAAACCACTATGAGTGCGTTTGTGGGAATTATTACGGATCCCCTTTTTGTTGTGCTCACTGCTCATGCTCACAAATAGTGCAACTCTGAAATCTCAGGTTCCTTCAGCACATGATCCTTCACATCACATGGCCTTGGCAGCCATCCACAGTCACTATCATAAACTGCATATAATTTTTCTGGCCAAACTCAAATCATCCAAAGCAGAAATGCCAAGCAGATAGCAGAGTGAGCCCCATAACATGCCTAAATCCTAAGCACTGCAAACCTACACTAACAGTAAGTAACCTACTACTGCGGTGGACGAGCACTGATGCTTGGCTTTTTCATGGCCAAGGGATTGCTGGAGCTGGGTGGTGCAAACCCATTCTTCTGGGGCTTGTTGTTCACAAGGCCTTGCAGTGTCTTCGCCTCCAGCTCTGCAATCGATTTCTGTAGCTGCTCTTTCTTCATTTGCTGCCCGTGTGTGTGAGCATCAGGTGGCACAATGGAATCTGGGATCTCTCTCGGATGCAAGGCAGGCCCCAGATGTGCCCCTTCACCTCTGCTAGCCGCAGCTCTTTGTTGTCCTGAGTTGCCGCTTTGCAGTCTCCCCTGGGAATCTCCATCAGAATCCCTTCGCACAGCCTGCACTCCAAGTTCTCCTGATTTGCCCGCCATCCTCAAGTGCCCATCCGAATCAAACTCCTTGCTTTCCTCTCGTTGCAACACCACGAACTTCGTCGACGGGAGTGCTGCATCAGACTTTGAAGCGTGCTCCCTGCCTGAACTCAAAAAGTTTGTCGCCACCCTTTCAGAGGATGCTTTTCGAAGATCCAGCCCACCAAGCCCTTCCGGTTCCTGAGATTGCGGGGACAGTTGACGGCTCCTGCTTGGGCTCCAAGAGGAGGACGTATCGGATGCAAGGTTGGCAACTGCAGAAGAAAACCTTCCACCCCGTTCCCCTCCCTTGGAACCTTCACCTGCACTTGGCTCTTGCATTTGCTTTCGCGGAGCTCTGCCCAAATCACCCTCCACATCCCTCTTGGTCATGTCAGGAACATGCTGCTCCCCCTTCCCATCCGCCCCGCGTCTCTCCTGCGACATAGGCTCTCCCCCAACACCAACTTCTCGCCTTCGAAACCCAGCTGCTTCGTCCTGATAGTCAGACCTCTCTCTATCCACTCCTCCTTTCCGAGCCCCACCCGTGTCACCCTTGGAACCAGAACCTCTGTCAAACTTAGGATCTAAGTCTCTCGGTTCCTTCCTAGCCTGCCAGTAAGCCTCCTCGTCCCTTTGTGCCACCGCAACCGTCTGGTAAGCTCGGCCACCGTGGCCAGAACCATCCTGCTCGATGTCACCTCTCCGATCATACCTGCCACCATCATACTGCTCCCTTCGGTTGTGCTTAGCCCACGGGTCTTCACCAGACTCAACGTCCCTCTGTTGAAACCTCCACGGTTCAGCTCTGCGGAAAGCTTCTTCTCTGGACCAATCACGTGGATCCCACTTCTTCCCTGGTCCAAAATCGAACCGATGAGGAGCCACACCATAATATTCCCCATCTCCTCCGTTTGCATCCCAGCCCTCTGCTGGGTCAACCACCAGGGAGGAGCATTCGGATCCTGCACCAGCTCGCCCCATTTTGCAGGTGGCGAACGGGACGAATCTCTGGAAGGGTACATGTGCTGGCGAGTAGGTTCTGTTCGCCCCTGCTCACGATCGACATCCACATCTCGCTCCCAGCCTCTTCCCCGGCCATCGTTGCCCGCATCCCTCCCTGGGCCGTCCCGACCACCTCGAAGACCGTCCCAGCGTTGGTCCCTCTCCACAACATGTCCACTAGAGCTGTGATGTGGTGGTACCCTCTCCCAATCAGGGCGCGACGAGTGATGCCTATCCCGCGGATCCTTTGAACCCCCATGTGCATCCCAATCGCCTTTCGCGTAGTTCCCGCTGCCACTCTTATCCTTCGAGTAATACTCCGGCTCAACTCGTTCATCGCCACCCCTTCGAAAGCCTGCTCTTGCATCCCCATGATACAGCAGCGGTTGAGAACGCGACGAATACGATACGCCTGGTTCAAGAAGCCCATTAAAACGGCCGGCGGGTCCGGGAAACCGGTCATGTTCTCGATGTGGGAACGCATTTCGGCTCAGCTCGTTTGAACTTGAACCAGGCATGGGACCGGAGAAGCTATCCACCTTGCCTCTTCTGTGCCTGTTCCTCACAGCAAGCAATCGCTGCCAATACCGCATTTCCAGCTCCTGCATTTCATGCTCCCTTTCCAGCCGAAGCTCCTCCTCTTCCCTAATCAACTCGTCGTCCCCATCACCCCTTTCTAGCTCACCCGATGAACCCCTCGGACTAGGAACTCCCCTTGGAAGTTCCGCCATAGACTGGCTGTGCAGCATAGAATCCCATCCTCCAGACGCTTCGCTGTGTCGTTTCAGCTCTATCACAGCGCTGAAATCTGTCAGGCTTTTCCTCCCGCTCGATGCCGACTCCCTCCGAAGTTCGCTTGAACCATCCGAAGCTAGTGGAAGCGCAATATCATCAGCCGCGAACCGTTTCACTGGTGCATCTCCACCCATAACTGCAGTTGCATCCTCCCCCTGACCATGGCATCGGTCTTCAGAATCGCTCAACGTCCCTGATCCTCGATGCTGTGCTCCTTCATCTGACTCATCGCTCGAAAACCCAGCTCCCCCGTCGGCGACTGTGCCTGGTAGGCCTTCCCAAAAACGACCATGAGTCACGCCAAGATGATCCAAGCCACCGTTTGCAGGCGAGCTAGAGAAGAGTTTTGCTGATGCAGAACGAGAAGTAGCACTTGGCCAGCCCTGCTGACAGGATTGAGACCGAGAACGCGAACGTGACGGAGAGGCTGAACGCGACCTCTCCGAAGATCGGCCGGGCAATGAGTTGGTTGACGAAACTGTACTCAGATGGCCCACAACTTCTTCGCCTTCTGCCTCCTCCTCTTCTTGATCGTCTGCATCACCGACCTCGCTCCTGGTCCCTTCCGAGCCCTCCGTTTCGTCAAATGAAGGACCTGGTTTCCAGTCCGGAACAAGCTTCATGATTTCCGCGTCTATCATCTCTGCGATGCTGGTAACATCTTGGTCGGACAGAGCAAGCTCTTCAACCATCTCGCTCGCCACACTAAAAGCCGTGTCTTCCTCCATGTTGAAGGGAAAGTGAATGTTGCACACCAACCCTGAATGTCAAGCAAACGAGTAAAAAAAAGGTAATTACTAATTGGAATCATGTGCATGTCAAAATTAATCGAATCTGTAAGTGAACAAACTTACCTTCTGAATCGACGATCCTTAAACGAAGGAACACAGTGTGGTCGTCATCATCAACGAGCTTTCCCTTGACTTTAAAGTCTCGACTGCAGCGAAGTCGATCTGCTTCATGCAAACCGTCAAGATCACTGTCGCTGGATCTGCTTGCACTCTTCAGATGCTGCTCAGAAACATCATTCTCGTTGTTCCCAGATGGTGTGGAACGCGTCTCCGTCTGCAACACAGGCTTCTCCGGGCTTGACTTTGACCTGTATGAATCCTGACCTCGGCTTCCCACGCTTGATAGGTCGCTTCCTTTGGACATGGAGCGAGAGAGATGCGACATGTCAAGGTTTCCGAGACCTCCACGATCACCATCGTTGAGGAACGGGTCCATCAACAACTCCCGTGCTGGAAGGCGGCGTGACGCAGTGGCGAGGCACTTCTCCACAAACGCCCGCACTTCTGGATCCTTAACCTTGTCCAGCGCTGCCGGCTTCTTACCCTGAAATTGGAACAGAGAACTTAAGACGGATATTCACGAATCTTAATAGAAGATGCACCGCAAGTCTATATTGCTTACCGAAACAACCTTCTTGTAAATCTGCGCAGCGTTCTTGCACTCGCTGTAAGGATACTCCAGAGTAACCATTTCCAGCACGCACATGCCGAAGGCATAAATGTCGACGAGCTCGTTGTACTCCTCTTCGTACAGCTCTGGAGCCATGAACTCGGGAGTACCTGGATCATAACAGCTCACGATAAGCGATTGCTGCCATAAACGAGATATAAAAATAATGCTTACTAAAGATACGCCAACGCAATACGCGGATGCTTACCGATGACGCTGTGAGCGGCGTTTTTGTGCTTCAAGATGGCAGCAAGGCCCAAATCGCCAATTTTAACCTCTCCTTGGTTGCCGTTGACAAAAATGTTGTCACACTTCAGGTCTCTGTGAATGATAGGAGGGTCATGGCTGTGCAGGTACAGCAGGCCTCGGAGAATCTGACGAGACCAGTTCTTCACGGCCTTCATGTCGCAGTGCTTGTGCTTCTTCCGATACCTAAAGCAATGAGGATAAAAATATTATTATAAACGATTTATAACTAGAAAGTGAAACAGCAAACAAAGAAAATCGACTTACTGCCTCAGCGTGCCCGACGTGAAAATCTCGGTGATGAAGTTGACGTTCTTAGACTTAATGTCCACCAATGAATTGTAAAACTTTATGATGTTCTTGTGCTTAAGAGTCTTCAGAAGTCGCACTTCTGAGAACAACCGCTCCAGGTCCTCTTGGCACTGAAACACCTCTTGCACTTTCACCTGATTCCACGCCACCTCAATCCCATCAACTTCATCAAACGCCTTATAGCTGCACACATTAAATTTAACTTAACGTTAAAAAGAGAGAAGGCCGGAAGTGGAAATTAACGGCAAAAAAGAACGTGCTCGCAGTTTATAGATAAAACGGTTAGCTTTAGCACTTACACGGTCTTGACGACTCCCTTTCCAAGCACAGTCTCATACTGCAGTGAAACCACATGAAAGATTTGACGTCAGACCCAAAACAAGGAACACGAATACATAAAACATACGGAAATTTTGGTACTTACGCGACCATATCTTCCAGTAGGATCCCTCTCAACAATCTTTTCGTCATCATCGTCATCGTCGTCGTCGTTCACGTCGGCTGGTATGCCATCGGGTGGTAAGTCCTCGGATGCAGCTCCAACTTCCTCCTCCATGAGCGATTAATGGTTAAACACGCACTGAGCACGGAAGAACCACAAAAATCACCTCCAACCACTTCCAGCGACCAAAGCTCAGAAAGCTATCCGGCCTGACAACTTGGATGTTTTGCAAAGACGATGGCATGCTAGGAATCCGCCATAGCCAGAGGGCATGAGGGCTTCAACTGATGGAACCCTGGATTCAGAGTCAAGGCCCAACCCAGCCTTCACCCAGCCAGTCAGAGGGAGCGGAAACCAGCCTGCGGCTCAACCACAGTCAAGAGGCCAAACCCAACCACGAGGGTTTCGTGGGCTGTTGGGCCCCGAGCTTGCCTACGGCGGAAAGTTTCTGCCCTTGAAAGAGCGGAGGGCCCAAAACACCGTCGATCCCCTCAATCTTCTGCCAAGTATTCAGATAACAGCCAGGGGCAGCCCAAAACGGATTGCCCGCTGGGTGCTCCACCAAACATCAAACTTCTTGGAAGTTTTGCGGCGCACTGCGAACAGGCGGATGGTGCAAGCATGGCACAACGCCATCTCTGATTCGTTGGGAAGTGTCGGAAGGGTAGTTTGGGGATGATTCAGTTACCAGCCCCCTCATTCGCTTGAGCCGTCCTCAAAGCGGGCTGGGCAGAGGCCGTTTCAGACCAGCCCGAAAATCCTGGTCTCTCCGCTCCCCACCAGATCTCCTTGGACTTCGAAATCTACACCTACAAACGAGCACATTCTCTTGCACAAACGTATTCATGTGCATTTCCATACTTTTGTCAATATCGTTTTCTATATTTTGTTTGCTTACATGGCCCACAACCAAGACAAGGTGATTATATAATCATCCCTCATTATCGGCCAGGAGATATTGGATCGATGAAGGTGTCGTTTCCAGAGCAACAAAGCTGTAACGATATAGAATATACTTTGTTACTGTTACAATCCTGTAAAACTAAGAACAACGGAATAGGATGTATTGAACAGAATGTGGGTACAGTTACCTAACCCTAACTGGGTTGTACCCTATAGAAATTAACCCACTACATCCTATAACCACAAAATATGGTTTGACACACCCCCATAGGCGAAGTGGAGAATAGCACGAACAACAATTGGTCACAAGACCAGTCAAGGGAAACAACCAACAAAGCTCAGGGTGCATCTCAAGATCACCACACAGTCCGAGCACAAGCAAGCGGCCACAAGGCCAGTTCACATGCAAAGTTATAATACCAAAACCAGTACACTGATCAGAGCCTAGCAAAGGTAAACATGCAGGTATAAAGATATATAGCAGTCTACAACGAGGGCAAGGCGAGATCAAGAGACAAACAAGTGAGCCAGTGGGCACAAGCCCAAGAGCAGTGCAGAAACGCTGATGATCACCAGACCGTAGGGCCTTGGTGAAGATATCAGCAGTGTTGGCATGGGAGGCCACGTAAGCAAGGCGAAGCTGACCACGCTGTTGCAACTCTCGTGCGAGGAAGTAACGAAGAGTAATGTGCTTCGTTCTGTGCTCCAGTCTCTGCTCGCGACACAAGGCAATCATGGCCTTGTTGTCGACGAGCAGAACCGGAGGAGAACGAGGCCACTCACCCAAGTCAGTCGACAAGTAGGTCAGCCAGCGTAACTT